ACAGCAAGGCAGTCAGGTGTCTCTTTTACAGCTGAGGCACTGGAGTGCTACTGAGTCCACACTAGAACCTTGAGCATATGGACATCATGCATTGGCGTGTTGGACATGTGACTGCACTGGCAGGAATCACAAGCTTCACCCCCCGACCCCCCCCATTCTGTGATATATCACACGATCCGTCGTTTTCAAGACCTTGACAGCTACTACTGCTAAAGCAAGATTAAACTCAAGCCTAGCTCCGCTAGCTTTCGTGACATCTTCACAATTCCTTTCCGCCATGCCATGACTCGCACGAGAAGAGAAGGCTTCAAGTTTGGAACACCTAGTCAATGCAAAAGCCCCCTCGGCCCTCGTCTGTTCATGCTGGCCTGCTTCTCCAACGGCTCGTTGACAGCACCTTGGCCGTATGCCAAGCAGGTTCAGCAGCCAGGCATACGGGTCTGGGCATGTTTCTGCAGCTTTGCTGAGATGCTGGCGTTCCGATGCCACCGCGACTCTGCGCACTGCTTCGGGCAGCATCTGGTTCACCACCTCCTGTCTTATGGTGTTTGAACACAAGTCAAGAAATTTTGACTGCAGTTTCCTGCTGCACATCCATGTCCCCATCCGAATAGGCCGGCGGAGGTGTGAGCAGCACAGTCTCTGGCCTTGGCTCTAGGCCTCAGGGGCGAACGCCTTCTTGATTGGGCCTCTTTACACGAAACCGCGACTCCTCGCCGCTGAGGCCGCGAACGTTCCAAAAACTGTAGACAAAGGTCTTGGTAGTCCTCAAGGGCGTGCTATGCTCCCCCGCGAGTCGACATGAGATCGAGAGATGATCCCTGGTCCGCTTTCTGCACCCGAGACAATTGCCAGCGGAAGCTGGTGCAAGTGCCATGAGCGGAATCCACTTTCCAGAGCAAGGCCAGGCCATCAGCCAATCTTTGGTTGACGGCACAAGAGCGAGTGGAGATCAGACTCTCTTCAAAAAGAAAATGAATTTATTCAATGCTCGTGTTGCACCACGTTACCTTGCAACACAGCCGGCTGCTAACTCTCCACCGGACTGGCTCCAGATAAACGGAACTTCGCTTGTGGATTCGCGGGGTGTGGAGGATCTCTGTCTGATAAGGACCTGACTCTTTCTGTCTCATCTTCCCAGATTCCTGCAACATCCCGTCAACGACATTCAGCGACTGTGCACTTGTGAATTGTCGCTGTCAGGCTCTTCACCTGGCAGAACCGGCAAGGCAGCTCGGCAGCCGCGTTGCTTTCGCCAGCTCCCAGAATTGCTTGTCAGAAAGGTATAGAGCATTCAATATGTCTTCAAATTAAGCAATTCGGCCAAGGTATTCTAGGCAGCACCTTCTTTGAAGTTCTTTGGGCTGACAGCAACTTGCAATTTGCAAGTCAAAGACTTGCTTGCCCCTGTACTCACTTCTTCTTGTCAGCCTTCTTCCGCTGCCTCCACAAGATCCAGCTTTGCAAGCTAGAACCGAACAGACAAACTGTTTGACACTACTTTCCCAGCCACTGAGCCAGGGAAAACTCTCTGAGCGGCAGGCTCCTCAACCTTGGTTTCATCATACTCGGCTTGCTTGGATTGGGCCATCTGATTCATGATGGAAACCTCGGCAATCGCAACATGCTGAACCCAGAAGCTGCACAAACAAAACGCATAAGGGCGTTATGAATCCGCCCTAGGACAGTACAGCTGTTTATGCGTTTCTGCTGTGGCTGCAGAAGCACACCACATTGGCATTGAAAAGCACGAAAATGAACAGACATGTGTCGAGACAGGAGCACAGGAACAATGGGTGTACGCAGCATGTGCCGGGCATCGTGAGGCACCCACCACAAAGTAAAGTATGAGACAGACAATGAAGAGCTCCCAGCATACCTCAGTCAAGTAGGGTCTTGACAAAGCTGATGGCACTGACGAGGGTTGGCAAATTGCACATATGCTTGCACTCGACTACAAAAACAGCGATGTGCTGTGGCAAGCCAAACTCATCCTTCCCACACAGCTATCATGCAGCGGAGGCACCTTCAGAATGCCTGCGAGACGTACAAAAAACGAAGCATCATGTGGACACAGGTCCGAGTCATGACTAATGCGGATATGTCAGTCGGCACTTGCACCCCTAGCCACAACATTCTGACGCTGCAACTGTATCTTCATATGACTCATATGTCTCTTCTTACTATTGTTTGTGCGACAAAGGGGCTAGTGGGCGCGCCAGGATCTAGCGAAGAGAGGGAAATCTTTCCGTCCTTGCTCCAAGACCACAGGCATCTGCCCTGCAAAAGGCTTGAAGCACTCAAGCCAAATTCGCCTCGGCCGTGCCGAAAGGCGTGCAAAGACTATCACAGGAAGACCTGTTGTCCCTCCTGATCCCCCATGCATCCCCCTGGCCGCCGCACAATTGCCCCCCGCTCATGCTACAGCCAGCTTGGGCTCAACGTTTTCGTTTGAATTTCCCCAACACCCCAAACGAGCCTGGACAGGCACCGACTACTCCCACAGTCCGTGTTTGCGACTGGTTTCGACTGATTCCGACCACTGCGGATCAGGTCTGGCTCTGACCAGGTCTGACAGATCCGAGCACTCCCAGACAAACCCACCGAGTAATTGGGCATCAGAAGTGGTCAGAAGTGCTTGGAACAGGCCGCGAATGTGCAAGATTCATACATTCGAGTGTTAGGGCAATTATATCGCCTGGATCAACCCTGCCCAACAGGGTTAGGCTGAATGGCCCAAAAGCTTTGGCTGAGCAACCTACACCCCTATGCATCATTTAACAGGCACCTCTAAACCCCAGATGTCCCTTGTGGATGCCTGGTATGCACTTGTATTCTATCTTGCCTATACCTACGCATCCCTGGAAAGCTGGCCCTAAACCCCAAAGATCACTTGCCTGTGCCTGCTATGCAACCCGCTAACCATACACCCCCAACCCCCAACCCCCGCTGCCATGCACCATCTACTTCGTCAGCAAAGCGCATAGACTCCGGGCCGAGGCGGACGGCGCGAAGTGATTACAAAAGCATCTGACAATTCAGAAATCAGCACTTCTACTTCTACGGCCCAAATCGATGTGACCACATTCCACAAGCAAGGTCATACAGTGCGACAGTCTATGCAGACATGGCGTCTGTTCGCGAGGCTGCCAACTGGATCTCCGACACTTCAATTGCCTGAGGTCTATTTCATGACAGCATATGGCAGCGTCTTTGGTGTTCAGTTCATGCGCCGAAAGCTTGGCAGGCCTTGTCGCCATTCTTGTCCCACGCTTCCATGACTCGGTCCGCGATTTCGTGGGCCTTGTCCTCTGTGTGGTACCTTGTGGCCCCAGCCCCAGGACAAGAGCAATTGACAACCGCAAGGCCCTTGCTGGCAAGGTGCAGCTGCAGGATCTCTTCCAAGACTAGCCTCTTATCCTCGTCGTGCGTGAACAGGTGCTCTGGGGCAAATCCTTAGATTTCCCGTCAGTCCAGAGGCCTAAGAAAATTCTCCAAGGCACTTATGGCAGTGCTTCTCTGCAACTGGGCAGCTTGACTGCTGCTTGAATTTTGCCAGGAGCTTTGCCCGCAATGCAGCTGCCTGTGCACACCAGAGACCGATATCCATCTCTCAAACTCTAACCTGCCGGATAATCACATTTTGTCCACTAGGATGGTTGGCTTGCAGGGGACTAGCAATACTTCCCCATCTAACCCGCGGATGCAACCTTAGTCAAGCCTCCAAAGCCTCAATCCATCAAATTAGGCGACCCTGATAACTGCTGCTATGCCGCTTTCGTACTGATCTCAAAGTCCTGGCCAGAGGCAGCCTGGTTATGCCGAAAGTTGCAGCGAACATCAGGAAACCATGCACTGCTTCACCGGGCCCAGTGCCGTGACGAGACCATTGATGTAGTCGAAGCCCTTCAGCATGACCTTCCCAGAATGGCTGGCACGGCCACAGCATGAAGCTATGCAGTGAGGCCCTGCCTGAAATGCTGCGGAGCCGAAAAGATTCACGAAAACGACTGCCTGGCCATTGACCTTCACCACGCCTTTGCCTGCGTGTGCCAGGGTCTCAAATACCTATGGGAATGACTTTGTTGTTTGTGGTGGCCTAGTGCAGTGGCGATGAAGAAGGTCCAGAATGGCATGAGCAAATAGCCACAGCACATACCTCGCTGTATTCATGTACAAACACACTCCTACCACAGAGGCTGAACACCCTCAAACCTTTCACCTGCACCAAGTAGTGCAACATGCTGCAACCTCCTTCAAACCCAAGCAGCCACACATGTCGAAGGCAGCGTTGGGCCATGACCTGGTGGCAGTCTGACTGCAAGGACAGAGTGAAATCGAAACTGAAAACTGAGCGGCCGGCGCTAACAGGAAAATCCCAAGAAAGCCATGTCTCTCTGTGAAGTTCACCTGAGTAGTGCTGCAGCAGACATCTTGCAAACTAATGCCTGTGACTGCCTCACGTGACACCTACGCGCAGCCCTGGATCTTCAAATCTTATTTGCGATCACAACTCACCTGGAGGAGGAGTTTTGGCTGGCAAGCACGTGGACCAGGCTGACAAGGCTCTCGCGTTCTCCCCTGCCCCCCACCCACCGTGGCACATCAAGCTCGCAAGCGGGATCCCGATTCGCCACTTGGCTCGGGTCTCCACTTTTTGGCACTACTGAGCTTCTGAGCCGCGGGAGGCATTAGACATATCCAGCCCGCTCTGCCTTCATCATCAGCGAGCACAAAAAAATCAATCCCAGCGCCGCTGTTGATTGCCACACAGTCTAAGCAGGCTCTTTCGTGTCGTTTACACGGAAGGTTTAGCCGAAGCTCGGGCTCCGTTGCTCTCAATACTGACGTCAAGTTACTCAAATTGAGCATGACAATCATAGTCTTGACATGAAGGCCTGGGTCATGTCACTGCTGCTGTTGAAACGTTCCCGCTTAAGATCATCCTAATGCCGAACAGAGCTAGGGCGTCAAGCTCAATTACTTTTTTTGATTTTTGTGCACAGTTGCTCAGAGCATGCTGATGCAAACAGGAACAGAGTAAATCCAAGACGCGCGCCAAAGGCTCTTACTGAAACTTGTGCTGCCGCTGCTTCTTGATGCCTAGTTACTTGCAATGGCACGACACACAGAAGAACTGGACTAATAAAACATCCGTGAACAAACAGCAGGACACCTCAGGTGCCGCAGAACTCGCTGCGCTGCACGGGCTATGAGCGGTCTTTGAATGAGGATAATGAGGCGCGTCCATCGGATCGTTTCCAAGTGAAGTTGCTGTAGTTGCACACAGCTACAGGAGACAGCGCTCATCATTAATAAGGAGTGCCTTTCGCACACTTGCGGCCACCCACCCGACGCATCAAAAAATGTTTGGAGACTCACGAGCCTTGCCACGTTGAGGGCCGAGTGGCTGTCACTTTCAGGCATCTACATAGCCCAATCTGCCTCCAAAGATGCCTTGCACATGATGTTCTGCTAAGGATGCTGAAACCAACTGCCTTTCTGGCGGTGATACCTCATGCTGCGACGTGTTGAAAAAGAGAATTAAACCTGTCATCTGACAGGTGAAGCCAGATCTCTACGCTTACGACGCAACATTGCCCGGCGCTCGATGGAGGCTGCACGTCATGCTGCACGCCACCTGCACACGCAGTGAAATCCAAAATGCTGGCAAGTTTCCTGCCGCGCAACTGCGACTGCGTGAATCCACGGCATCGTGCGAAAGGCGGTAGTGAATGCAATGTTTCCAACCGCAGCCAGCACATGCTTCGTTAAGGTTCTGCTTCGCTGCTCCACAGCCCCTGGCTCACAAAATTTCAGGCCGCAATGTGTGGCAGTCACGCCCGACAACGGACTGATAATGTAGACCATGCTGATATGAAGAAACCCTCGGCATGTCCTGCTGTGTGCCGGCGGGGTGGACACGAGTCCAGTTGCGGACCATTTACAAACAGCCTCAAAATAATCTGTGCTCCAAGTGACAGTCCACAGCTTCATTCGGCTGAAAAGGTCGGTGCTGCTCTTTGCCTCCTCGGAGTTCTGCTTGTTGGTACAAATAATGCACTATGCCAGGAATCTGTGCCTCCATTTCCTTTGCAAACTCCTCATCCGTGGAGCCAGACAAACGAGCAGCCTTCACATGGCAGTTGCAGATTGCCCACACCTTGTCGAAGTATGACCTTCTTCCTGAACAACCACACTGTTCTTTTTACTATTTCTGCAATGCGGTCAGCCGGACCTTGGACACGAGGTACGGCGGCCTTGGACAAAAAGAAGTACCAAAAACGTCATCAACTACAAGCGGAAAGCCTTTGAACTGATCTCTAAGCCAGCCTCTCCTGGGGTCTTCCTTCGAAATTGACAAATTGACTGCTACAAACTCTCTTTCGATGACTACTGGTGCGCCACTCATGCTGCAAGATCCTCCGCCCATTTCCCTGGCGACCAACCACACATTTCAACTGAAGAAAAAATTGAACTCGAATCCTGTTAGCCTCTATCCGGAGGCTAATCTTCCTCCTCCCGGACAAACCACGATGCGCTGACTTAACCATTCAGCCCAGCCCTGCTTGTCCACCCTCCGGAGCCCGAACGTGCTGGATCACAGTTTGGCTGACTGACTAGTCCGTTACGTCAGAAGGTGTTTACATGACAGGCAAAGAAACAGACTCAGTGCAGAGTGCGTCCCTTTATCTCCGGCCAAATAACAACACAAGACTACCGTGCAGTGGATTGACCCTCAAAGACCAGATGCACCCAAAACTCCACTGAGGACAATGCACGGAAAAGGGATGAGATATTCAGACCAAACAGTACACTCGGATGACAGGCAAGGAATGGCAAGGAGCAAAGGGCAGAAGTGGCAGAGGCCCTTGTCAGTAGACAGGTCCTGCCAGGATGCAGATTCAGCGACAGCGTTGTCACACGAAACAGAGAATGCACCACCCAGACCAGAGCAATCTGCGCCAAGGGGCAGGGTGTTTTGATGGATTGGGATTGTACTGATTAGATTTATTAAATATCGGAGGTAAATACAGACGGAATAAAACAGATACCTCATACCCACCCTCTGTGGGCCTGCTGGGTTGGCTGCCTCCCACATACTTTAAAATCCTCACCGCGCATCTTGAGAGGAATGGATCCACGGCAGCGCTCTGGAGACCCATTTTCGCTGCGCAACAAAGGGAGTCTTGGTAAACTTGTAGAGGTTGTTACTTGGCGACTACTCTACTGTTGATGTTTGATAGTTGCATTCATTCTCGTGGGCATTGGGCCTGAGATAGCAAACAAGAAGAAAGCATGACTGCAAGTGTTACTACAAACCTGCAGCCTTACATGATAAGAAGGGCGTGTTTTCTACTAATCCATTTAAACGAAAACACACAAAATCCAGACGCTCGTGGATGGTTTATGGTCGTTTTGTTGACTATTCATGGGTTCAGCCATTTTGGGCCTGCGGAAGCAGAAAAAACACATCCTCAAGAAACCATGATGAAACCATAAAAATGTCTTAATTACACACAGAAGTTTATTGGTTTTAATGGTGTTGTTGGATTCTGTGTTGTTTTTGCGGGTTGTCAGTTTCCAAAATAAACAATGTGAAATGCATGCTTTTTTTATGATGTATTAGGCAAAGAAATGGCAAATTTGAACCGAAAATCAAACTTCAAAAAATCCAAGCGCATCCTCCTTTCATGCTGATCAGATGGTCCTAACCCTAGAGGCTCATGCTACGGCTGATCTTTGCAACAGAGGTATTGCAAGCCTCATGTCTTGTCATGGTTGAACTCCAAGGCTCTTTAGCTCAGACCAAGGTGCAGCTCCCCAATTGCAGTGCCAAAACCCCACAGCATGCATGGAATCGTTACCTGACAGCTTTCTGGCTTCATGTGTATATAGCGAACATCCGTGAACGCCATGAACGTTACATTCTGTGTGACTACATCTTCTGATTCGCACAGCTCAACACATGCCTTCATCCAAAGATTCCAGAACGTCACCTCAGTACATGAAGTAGGCTCATGAAAGCTGACACGACATTCGACGACACCCAAACCTGATACCATATTCCTCTTCGCTGCACAAGCCGAGGCGCAGTGCTGTCATCGAAAGGGGCTGTGGTAGTGCTGCAATCTAGCTTGCACGGGTGCTGATACCAGGCTATGAGTCCTCAGGCTGCGCATATCAAGCACCGGCACAATTGGAAAGCAGTCAAGCAAAAGGGTGTCTGTGCATTCCCGTCTGTACCTCTCCTGCCCAACCACACGAGCCAAGCATCCGGTGGTTGTGTGGCAACTTTCCGCAGCAGTCACAACTTGCAGCACATGAGGGAACAGGAACATCATACCTGCAGCAGATGATGAACATGTCTTCTCCAAGCTCATGACTTTCAAGCTCCGCAAGGGCAGGAATCTGATCTGCAGGCTGCCTGAATGTAGGCCAGTCCCGAAGCCAACCTGACAGGATCTTTGCACGACACTCTGATGCTTAATACTGCCGGCTGCAACAAGGCAGGCAGACAGAAGACAAGACGCCGAGGAGAATCCACCAAGCCGCCTCCAGCAAAGCAGGGTGGGGCCCTACTTATGGATATCAAAGAAGCCAGAGCCACATGCCTCCTTAGCTGCTAGCTCCAAATGCCAGAGCGGTGCGGCAGCCTTCACTCCGCAGACAGGTGCCTCGCAGCTGACTCCCACCACGCCCAAGCTTCAAGAGTCTGCGCACCTCAAAGAGCTCCGGGGCGTAGGAAAGCTTCAAGTAAAAGTATCCTGCTAGCCTTAGGCGCAACAAGGGCCGTGCGCGCATTGACGCTGCGTTGAGGCTGCAGGCCCAAATTTGCAGGCTTCTTAAGACAAGCAGCAGCGGCACTCCCACAAGCCACGTCAACAGACTTGTTAAGATTACCCGAAGACAGTAGATAATGTACTCGACCGCGCTGATCGTGAATAGCACTACCTCAGTCTAGAAATGCGACGCACTCCCAAAACATGCACCTGGCATCTGGGATATGCTGTTGGCAACACGAAACAAAAATCTTCAAACCACCTTCCACAGTCGGCTCAACAACCTTCACAACAAACAACACCTATCCAAAACCGAGCCCATTAAAATCATCAGACAATTGTGTTCAAATTGCTTCATTGCGGCCTCAGTGATAGTATGAGACTGTCGTGAGATGTGTCAGTATAATATGTTTCCAGCTCACAGCCTGATTTCCAAAAAGACTTCATTGCCAATCTTGCAAACAAGACCACACCGGATGGAAGCGTGGGTAACTCCCCACCTGGAGTTCAGTTGGCAGATGTGGATGCCATCTGCATGGACAAGGGACTGTGGTGATGGGCGCTGAGGTGATGTTCAGCTTGGCTCGCTTTGCCGCCAGGCTAAGCCGCAAGACCTCGATCTCGCAGGAGGGCGCCTTGGCTCTTTGCACTTAACTCAAGAAACTCCAAAAGAACTCAAAAGTCCTCTTATCATCTCAACTTTCTCCTCCTCTTCTTTTTCTCTCTTCTTCTGTTCCCTGTTTGGGCCATGGGCCTTGCCTTGGCACTGCCAGCATCGCCCTCGGGGCTTCGCCTCCGGAGGCCCTCGTCTTCCTCACCTGGACAGGAGAAGCTTAGGTTTACCGTTTTAGGCGGTTTCACTATGTTTCACTCGCATGCTATGCGAAGATTCGATGACCTTCGCCGCTCATTGCGTCCCTTGAAGCGCCAAGCTCCAACTGCGGCCGCAGCTTTGGGCCAAAACTTGCTGGTGCTGGCACATACCATAACTCAAACCATGGGAAGCAGCTGAGGCAAGACCCATCACATCTGCGGACACGAGTGGAAGCTGCAAGGTAAGAAGTCCTTCTCAAAAGCCTCAGGATCCCAGTTGCCTGACTTTGCGTCATTGGTGCCAAAGAGCGTCACGACAAAGTGCGGCCGCCATCTGGAAAGAAAGCAGTCAACTTGGAGGAAGGCCATCAACATCACTTGGCATGAGCTTGAGGCACTCGGACGTCTTCCAGCTTCCGCTCCTTGTGTCCCGTCGGTTTGAGGCCAAACAACTCGGGCGCTTAGGTGAGACGCGGGTCCTCCCAATAGGGCTGGTCCGCAAACTTCTGGGCCGTGGCACCAGTCACCCCAAAGTTCCGGACCTGAAAAGGTATGTTGCTTTGCCACCAGACTTCAACACACCTTGCTTGCGCAACTCTAGCCCACAGCTAACATACAAGCTCATCATCTGGAAACGTCCAGCAGCAAACTGCGTTCAGCACCTGAACGTTCATCCCAGCTCGATCGAAGTGAGCCTTGCGTCATGAAATGCTGAGTTCGCGAACGTGCAACCTGATTTCCGAGCCTGCAAGAATTTGGGGTAGCCGCATGCAGTGAGAGAATCCCCAACACAGGCCTTGACTTCACAAACTTCGGCAGTTTGTGCAATGTCGACCGATCTTTTCAGTCTCCGAAAGTGAGGCGCGGGCTACACGAGCGACAATATGGTGGGTCTCGACGGCTGGATTTAAGCGGTCAATGACCTCCAGCAAGAATCACTGCAGCCAATCTGTCACACCACAAGAAAAGAAGAAACAAGAGGAACACATGCGGCACTCTTAGCATCCTGCTGAACCAGGAAGCGGGACTCGGAACGTATGGGTGCCTCGCAGCTCTCTCCCTTGCCTCTCAGAGTGTGCCTTCTGTCAGGGCTTGGGATCTGCGAAGCTTGGCGGTCGAGCGCATCTCGCTGACGTGCGGGAGGTCAAAGACCTCCTCAGGCAAGTCCTCCCAAACAAAATGCCTTTTCATGGACTGGGAGCAATGAAGCCGCAGCTTCCGCCTTCAGCAAGATCTCCATGTCGCTCACAGGCATGGTCAGCAAGATCCTATGATGAAGGCTCCACAAGAAGCGACTCAATGGGGCACAAACTCCTGAATCTGGACGGCTACATAGGTTCACCATGCAGCACTAGGAGGATTTGCTCGTACTTTGGCTCCTGTGCGTTCCGGAGGGCTGGGGAAGAACCTTAATCATGTGTTGGAGCACTGGGAATTCTCAAACTTTCTCAGGCGGAACTGGAGCTGCGCACTTGCATGTAGGCAGCATCCAATGGGAAACACATCCGCTCCGCCTCGGTTTGCCACAAGCTTGGGATGCAAGCGAGCAGATTACGGTCAAAACTGACGGGTGTACTGTCAACTTCTCAACTGGAAACCAGCTGTTGCTGAAGTTAAACTTCCAAAATCGACAGTGTACACTGAGTTTGGCAGCTACGAAGGTCGTTGATGATCCGAGGTATTGGCTCTTTCATCAATACTCCGCATGCCGACTGCATAGGCCTACAGACAGCTTGGATTCTGCTACTTCAACAGCTTCGATCACTGCTTCTCAAAGCCTGATGTCAACCTTTCGCTTGTACATGGATTGTCAACGGGCAAACTGCTTCTCAACTGGGACTTCAGCGCGCCTCGATGAAGCTCAGCTCAGATAGAGCTCGGCCCCATGTGTTGCAGCAGAGGCTGCCGAACATGTTGGGCAACCCCCGGAAGTGGTCCTATGAAGTCTTGTGAGGCATGTTGTTGCGGTGTTCAGCAGCAAAACAAGGTGAGCAGCGCGGCATCCTGCTCACTCTGCCACCGTACATATCCTTGGCAACATTTGGCAACAGTAGGGGCTAAGCTAAGGCCAGCCGATGTCTGCCAACAGTATCTGCACTTGAACGCATGATCCAAACGACATCGAAGAGGGTAGAGGAAGCTTCAGGCGCAATACTGGCAGCTGAGCTACAGGATGCCTGCAAAAATAAGAGGTGACCCGGTCAACATGGTCAAACAGCTCGTTGCGTCCAAGCTACGTAGAGATGCAGCATCAGAGGCTCGGCGCATTGAGCGGCCCACCTCCGAAAGCGAAGCTTCGGAAGGCGCAAAGCTTCTCTCGAAAGGGGGCCTGCTGCAGCCAGTCGGGGTCATCAGGATCCTGCGACACGTCGAGTCCAACGTAGAGGCAGGCACTCACTCTCGCTTCCAAAATTGTGATTTTCTCCTCCGGAACTTCGAAGGAAAGGCTATGCGTCACCACGTTGGCAAAGAGGCGGTCAAGTCCTTTTTTGGAGTTCCGCTTCCCTTCTCAAGTATCAGCCACGACCTCGCTCTTGCCTTGGCCTGGCGCCGCCTCCTCTAAGGCTGCCCGGTAATCTTTGGTGACCTCAGCGGACTCGTGTAGATCCCAGGATATGTTTGCGTGGTCCGCTCAGGTGTCCGTCCAAGGCCGATGCCAACACACGGCGTCCGCGACCCAAGCGGCGCGTGGTCTGAGCCAGCAAGCCCACCAAGATTTCCAGCGAGGAGCCTTCCGATCTCAATCGCCAAATTGCGACGAGCAAGTGCCACAATTGCGCGAAGCCTTCGACTTGTGCCTTCAGCGTCCCAAGCTTAGCCTGCGGTTGGAGGGAACCACACATGAGAGACTTTGAAGCATGTTGAAACGGGAAAACCCGTCCCCCTTGTGTGGGGAAAGCTCCTGTGGGACAGCGAAGGCCAGCGTGGCAACGCCGTCGGGGCGTCCACGGAGGCCGCTGCGGAGCCTCGCAATTTGTTGCTCTTCTTTTTGGGTAAGAAAAGTGCTCAAAGGCCAAAATGTTCTTAGAGCATTCTTCTGGGCCCTCAGCCGGCGAGCTGTGAAGGACCATCGCTCCTTGACAGACTGTTTACCCCTGCCCGTTGCATGCAACTTCCGGATGGCCACGATCTTTCAAGACATTTTCTGGCTCTTTCTGGCTCCTGTGCACGAGGCCAGGAAGGCCACCATTCTTCAAAGCCATGAGCCTTAACAGTTTTGACGTTGGGTCACGGCTCACACGCAAGCCGAGTGGCCTCTGAACTGTCGTTGATGGCCGCTTCGTCGAATGCAGCCTGCGCTGCATGTCTCGAATGACTGGGCACGGCCGGCGGCTGGGCGCCCTCCTGGAATTTGCAGCAGGGATCCAGATCTCGGGTACACGGTTCACTTCCCATGTGGACCAGAATGCACCTGCCACAATTACTTCTAATAGTCGCACAACCCCGCTCCAGCTCTGCATGGAGCCGTCGCAAAAAGTCAGCCAAGCCGAAGATGTCGCAGAGGACCTTGTTCCGCGCTACACCGTATCCTTCAAAAACCTGTGGAGCGACACGCGAAATGCAGCCAAACTGCATGGTTGAACGAAATCCCGAGCAAACCTCGAAGGATGCTCTGTGAGCCACGGATCACAGGTACTACATGTGCTGCTGTGGCTTTCCAAGTACCATGATGCCAGATGCTGGGATGCAATTGACCACGGCCTCGTGCTGTCCCTTCTTCGTGTATAAGCTTGACTCGAAGAAGGGGGTCCTCTTCGCCTCGGATGCGAGTCACCCGTCCGCTCAGGACAAGACTGCTAAAAGCTACTCCCTTCGGCCTTCGAGGTCAAGGCAACGTAAATGTCTTACAGTTGTTTACCGCCGCACCCTCTCTCCATTCCATCAGGTGCGCTGCCTCCAGTCTTAGCTGGTAGAAAGTGGAAAACTAGTCAACCCAAGATCCCAGGCTTGAAAAAGCTTGACATTCCTCAAGACTCTGAAGCTGCAGCCGTCAAACAAGCATGGAACCTGCTGCTAGCGAAAAGGGCTCTCTAGGATACATGCCGTCAGCTTCGCCCATGTCGAAGAAGCCACACTGATCATCTTGACATGCCAGTTGTAAGACCTGCTTGCGGACAGTCATGCTCGGCACTTCTACATGGTCATAGTTCACAATAGCACGGCCTCTGCCGCCGGCAGGCCACACGGAGGCACCGAAGCCATGGTAAAAGGCACGCCCGCGTTGTTCAGGAAGATCTGCCAGGTCCTTGGCAACTTGAGACATGTGCAATCGCAGGTAGTCTACACGAGGCAACCACGCGGCATTTCAGAGTGTGACGCGACAAAACCTTTTGTTCATTGCCCGGCGGGTCCGGACTTCTTGCATTTAACCAGGGCTTCAGAACTACTACCAGTCATCACTCCTTTTCGGCAATACAGCGTCTGCTTGTGACCGGGCTCTCACGCAAAAAAAGCGACCTCGCCTAAGCCCTGCGTGTGGGGCCTGTTAGTTCATAGATTTCATCAGGGATTGCATCCTTTGGCAGCACACCACCATGGACATAGTGTCTCGTTAACACCGTTGTGGAACGCTTGTTCGGGATTTTGCCATCACTTGCTTGTTTTTCTCCTCCCTTCAGTGATCAGGTTTTGCCAGCTATTGCTAGGTATCACTTTTCTGCATCAATCCTGTGGGGTACGCAGCTTACTATCGGTTTCTACTTCTTCCAGACTTTGGGGCTTACTTTTAGTGTTTGGGATCAGCTCAGGGTTTGATAGCCTTCGTTCTTTCCAGGGTGCCTTTCGACCGCGAGTTCATGTGTCACAAGCGATCTAAGACTTCTCTCAGGTGCAATTTCCCCAAATCCAAGAACCTGGCTGTCTGCCGTCTTTCTTCACCTTTCCAGGCAAGGTCTTCTACCAGATTGGTTGCCAAGAACAAGACCAGCCGGCCTGGCGCAGTCTTCCTGCCGCGGCCGGAAATGCGCTGAGGGCTCTGGCGAGCGCCAGCTGCCACCGACCTGGATCCTCGCCCACCTAGACATTCAGGGAAAGCGAAGGTGCCACATGCCTTGCTGTTTGAACGTTGACTTTCCCGCCGAGGCTAGTCGGATGTAACACGTCAAGTTGTGTGGTGCTATGAACCATGCAAGTCAGTTTGTGCGTCTTGCACCTGGTCATTCACGAGCTTTGCCACTTCGACACCAAGGCAACGGCATCTGTGATCAATAAAGCGACGTCCACCGGTGCAGCATTGACGAAGCCTGGACAGAGAAACCCACTTTGTGGCTACGCTATGGGCTGATGGGACGTAAAAACCACATTGTGAAGTTGTTAACAGGCAGACTGCATACACAGCTGGCCTCGGTCGCCAAACCAAAGCGGCAAGGGTTCTGCCTGATCATGATGATTTCTGCAGCTTTGGCTGCATGTTTTGCGATTTTGCGGGACCTCAGCAACCTCCTCAGCCCGGACCATGACCTGAGCAACGTGACAGCACATTCGCCCATACATCCGCTGAAACTATCTGAAACTGGCCTCGCACAGACAAGCAAGGCTCTAAGTTTGCCACACGCCGGCCAGCCTTTACTTGACCCACCCAATGCCTGAGAGTCATGGGTTGAAAACACCACACGCCGCGCAGTAATCGTAACAAACGAGGCTGCTGCGTCATCCTTGGCCCTGCACCGGGCACTCTTGCATATACCTCCTCAGCTTGACCCCACATCATACATAGACAGTAACGCCTATCGCTACGAAGACCTTCTAAAGTCCTGACCCTTCCCCAGGACGTCGCCCTCAACCCACTCTGCGCAGTCTCTAGTACTGTCAAGTGGCCGGATTGTACATGGTTCCTTCACCCACCTGTCAAGGCCAAAGGCAGACAATCCTGCTCCAAAGCAAAGCCGTATGCCGCACTATCCGCATCCACCAGGGCAGCCAAGCCAGGCCCTGCCTTGCGGCTCAGCTTCTTAGCGAGCTCAGCTGCCATGGCCCCTCCCTCCGCGGGCTTCAGGTTATCTGGCTTCAGACCAATCTCCTGATAGCAACATTGCAAGATGTCCTAGTGAATGGCCAGCCATGCCGGACAATTGCCACTACCTCTGTGAGGTGCTCCGGCCTTCCCGGCAACTCGAACCGCATATCGACCGGTGTCCTCCATGCATTGGACTGAGCGTCTGCAGTGGCATCAACCATCTTTCTTGCTCTGACTCGCTAGCACTTTAATCCAACATCCACGCTTCCTCTCGCCATCTCACCACTACACCACGATGGCCATTCAGCTCAGGAGACTTTTCGAGACCATGTAAGACGACTCGCTGACCTCCGGTCACAGAGAGCTTGTTGAGATATCGAACAGGATCACAGAAGTTAAAGTGACTGAACAGCAGTTGTGCCCAGGAAAGCGTGTATGCAAAGACAATCCGAGGATCCAGTGCGAAGAGTTGGCTTCAATTGCGCCTGCAAGCAACCGGGCTGCACAACGAATTCCCAAAAATCGTCCAGGCCTTCGAAGCTCCTGTGTACCCACCACCATGTTCTGGGAGCGTCATCCGCACAGGATTAACGTGAATTTCAATGGCTTCAATTTGGTAAGCTTGGGCTCAAGAAGGATGTAGGAGGACTCTGTGTGCTGGTTGCAGGTCCAGAAACGAAAACCAGAATATGCAATGAATGAACATGGATTCAAGATGGGTTTGCGTCCTTGTCACAGCGGCTACGCAAACGAGCGTGACAACAAGATTCTGATGCTGTTTATCTATGCCGAGACAATAACTGCTTTAGCAAAGACTGCCTTTGAACCTAACTAACTGACACGATGACAGGACACGCCTATCCAACACAATGGTTGGACTCAGTGGATCTGTATATGCATGCAATCACCATTGTATATGTACGTGCATTTGCAGTGAAAAAGCATTGTCCAGCCCCCTCAAGCTCCTGTCGCGATCCCGCATCAGCAGTTTTCCTCTCGGGCCACTTTCTGATGCAGTATCATGCCGGCATCTAAGTCTTCTTGTTCTGCTTCAAGAAGTTCAACAGCTGAACTTTGGTGACCTGGGGCCTCACAGAAAAGTCTGTTACGTACACTCCGCGAGTGCTCCAGACGCAATCAAAGACTAAGGTTGCCGCAATCTGCTGATCTCATCTGGAGTTAGCTGCATGAGCTTCTGCATCAGCTGTGCCTTCCAGGCATCTGTGGAACCTCCCGCCGCTCCGTCCATCATTGATGCGCATCAGCCTTCTGATCTGGCGGTTCTTCGCTCGGGGGCGGTGGAGGTGGAGGAAGCCTCAGAGCAAAAAAACAATCTCCGCCAACTGGATCCGCAATCTGCCGCCCAGCACGCTTCAACCTGATCGTTGACCTATCAAATGTCTGTTGGCTCATCTTTTTGCAGCATCTGCAGACTGGGCAGGCAGCTCATGTTGCGACATTTCATCCTGGAACGGACGTAGCTCGTGCAGAAAGCCAAATTCCACAAGTTGGAGTCCTGCCTGGAGTTGTCTGGCTTTGGCCTTTGCACGCTGCAGCTCCTCCGCGCTCAGAGGCCTCAGCACACTGCAGGGTTGCGGGGCTTTGCGTTTGCAGTAGCATTCCAGGCAGGGAACAAGCCCGGCTCATCCAGCATCCCGGCCAGGCACTCTGCATGCAGGAGGGCCTGAAAAGCAGTTAAAAATTCTCCAGACTCCCAATAAATGCCTTCAAAGGTTGCTTCAGACACGGCTAAGCGCTTAACGTGGCAGATTTGAGGATTCTCAGCAAGTATCCGCTGTGCTGTCACTGGAGCCTGCGCCTGACATGTTTGCTGCTCGGGCAGCGCTGACTCAATGTCAAACTCACGTATGCCTATGAGTTTTTCAACTTGGGCCGTCGCACTCAATTTCTGGATGTGGCTTAAGATATAGAACAGCTGGCCCATCGTCACGTTGGAAACCTTCATGTGGTTATTTGGAAAGACATTCGGAAGAACTCACATGGCCACACGTTCAGCGCAGTGCACTCCAGATTTGGAACCAACGCGCATCAGAGAGAAAGAGTTCACGCATTGTTGCTGCAGCTTGCCGCATCCTATGGCAAAAGGCAACGCACCTGCTGCACCAAATCTGACGGTAGCTCTCGACCAGCCAACGATGCCATGCCGGCAGGTGGCCTCGTTTGATGATGAATATATAGGCTGCTTCAATCTCACCACGTGGCCGAAGGAAAACAGATGTGATTTTCAAGTTGCCAGCACATTTCACCAAAAAAAGTTGCCTTTGCTGTCCGTCCATAGCTGAACCACAGCAACGTGAATCCTACCTTGCCTTCAGTCCTTGGAGTTGAACAATAGAATTTGGGTTATCATGTTGCTCGGTTGTGTAAATGCGCGCTCCTGCATGGCCGAAAGACGTGGGTTTTTGCATGAACCAAGAACTCGTGAGCCAGATGCAAAAACAATAATACAAACAAATGTTGACGCAGCAAACAAGCAAATAGTCCCAGCCCCAATTAATTTAAAGTAGGATCCATAAACAGCCCCCAAGTAATTCATCTTGCATCAACTTCTCTGGAGACACTGGCCCCAGCAACGAATGTGATCACATCCGGAGATGCATTGAATTAAGCATCATGCAATTTCGCGCGCAAAATGCAAAACCCATATCGGTGCGCAGAACTGAAACCACAAACCTCTTTATGTCGCTTCACTGGCGCTTCAACAAATTTGTACGGAAACCTACCTCTGCTACCACAAGCAACACGGTGCGCTGCTTTCTTGGGGCGTTGTGATCAGTAATGCTGTTCGAGGTGCTGTATGACGGAATTTGATTTCAGGTCAAGTAATTTCATCCCTGAATCACAAGACAACCTTAACCTTATCTATAAAAAAACCGCAAAAACTTTCTAAGTCAATATAAACTACAAATCCTCCCAACTCAGCATACACACACAAATGGTATAACTCATCTCAACTCAAATGCGAAGTCTTGGCTTGTTCATCAATGTCGGTTTGTTTGGTCCAAATGGAAAATTTGCGTGCAGCGACACTCCTGCATCTACCTGCTGTTCGGGCCCATCGTACTCCAATGACGCATTCGTTGGAAAAGCTACAGACTGTTTCCCGCCGATCACACTTAGTGGTCCAGCCTAAACATTCGTCCCGGCAATTGCTGCAGTTGGAAAGCTCACTTTCAAAACTGTGCTGACAAATTGCTCTGAAGAGCCTTCTAGAGCTGCTAATCACAGCTGCACGAGTGCTCCATCGCCGTATCAAAGAGTCTGATGGATTAGTTTGACAAACGACAAATTGTTGTTCGTCCCAGACTAGTCTGCCACACATGCTAGATAAGCAGTAATTGTTACACACAGAAACCATACGCACTTTTTCCCGCGTATTCCTTTATCTGCATGCTTGCTTCACTCAACTCAAATATGAGCATGCTTGCTTCACTCAACGCAAATACAACCACTTAATAAATGAATATGAATCCTGCATTTGAAAATTTGCATTACAAAACAAACAGCAGCACAACTTTTCTAGATTTGATTCACATGGTGAATGTTCACACTGCCAGCATAATACCTGAACTGGACACTACGCAGTGGATGACACGTCCCAAGCCCACAATAAGTGCTTTAGACCGCACAGCTGCAACCTGGAGGGGTTATCAGCTGGGAAACTCTTAGTGCGCACGGTAGCATACCATACCCCAAGCTGAAGAGAGCGTGCAAGCCGCCTCACGTACTCAACCATATCCGCACTTGGATGTACCGTACCTAGCCGCATCATTGTCTAGGTACCCTGCAGTTTGCGCCAAAGCGAGCACGTGACCCCAGGCACAGAAAGCCAGGAGAACTGGAAGAATTTGAAATTCATAAATTGGATTGGCCAAAATTTGGAGCCTGAACGCCTTGAGCCAATGAGGATTGAGCCAAACTCAGTGAAGGTTAAGGGGAAACACTTAGGGAGCACAAGGATCAATTTCCAGAGTAGACGTCAAGTTGAAAAGCGCATTCAACAAGTTGCACCGAATAGCATGACTGAAAAACAAATCACAAGTGCACAGATCAACATGTCTGCAACACAGTTCCACAAATGCAGCGCGGTCCCAGTATTTTTCAATCGGTGTGCACTTGCTGCTGTATCTCAAACCTTTGACCTGCTGTGCAACCTTGCAAGCTGCCATGGGGAGTGACACGGACATGGCATCATGTGTCCCCCCCCCAGCAGCACACAAACCGCATCTGCGGACTAAAGTTGCCAGAACCCAAATTGCAGAAGCACGAAGGTAAGAGTACGTTGAATGCTTTAGAACAGATAACCCCGCAGGTAGGGGGTTGAAAGCCGCTCTGCGGGCCCTTTCCTGCGAAGCTTCCATTCAGCACAAGCGAAA